ATTCTGGGAATTACCTTTGCTGAGGAATCTGAGATCCTATTTATTGGTAGATTTACACTTTACTAATAAATTGATCATGCTCAGCACTTTGTGCCTCAGTTTACCTTATTTTCATCATAACACTTCTCTCCCTTGTTTACCAGAAAAATCCTTTTGAAGAACTCGATGGTAATGGGTAAGGAAGGGGCAGGCAGAAGGGAAAGAATTTAGAACTCAAAATTTTCTTTTAAAAAAATGTTAAAAATAAATATTTTTAAGAAATCAAAATTTAAGAAAACCCAACGATGTTATGTTGGGAGCATGAAGAAGCACAAAAATAGTGTCCACACTGAGCCCCAGTAGAAGCAGAGCTATAGAAACCCAGGACCCCTGGGTCCCCAAGATCTACCAGCCCCCACTGGCCTTTATATTTTCTTACCTGACAAGGCATTAACCCTCAGGTGCCCACTCCCCACTGAAACCCTCACACACATTGTCAGTGAAACACACACACACACAGCTGAGAGAGCTAGGTGGAGCAGTAAATAGAGTACCAGGCCTGAAGTCAGGAAGACCTGAGTTCAAATCCAGCCTCAGACATCTGCTAGCTGTGTGATCCTGGACAAGTCACTTAACCTTGTCTGCCTCAGTTTCCTTAACTGTAAAATGAGCTGGAGAAGGAAATGGCAAACCTACTCCAATATCTTTGCCAAGAAAACCCCAAATGGGGTCATAAAGAGTAGGACATGACTGAAATGACTGAACACGCGCACACACACATACACACACACACACACACACACACACACACACACACACACACACACGCCCCGTACCTTGAGCTGCAGCACCAGGTCCATGCGATACTTGCACAGGGGGCTGATGTCATTGAGGATCAGGGCGGTGATGATGTCGATGCCATTAGATTCGTGCGTCACAATGCAGGTCTGTGCATGGGTTGGCAGACAGGACAAGGCCTCAGGATAGAGCCACGGCCAGTGCCACGCCTCCCCCGGACCCCAGCCCCCAGCCCCCGCCCCGCCACAGTCAGAGCCCCACAGCCTCTTCCGGGGGCTGGGTCCCACACCTGGTTCTCGTGGCAAGGCCCCTGGCAGTACTCGGTGAGCGTCTCCAGGGTCTGGATGACCAGCCCCACATTGTCCTCATTGATGTAGAGGCCCAGCAGCCCCAGGCCACCCGTGGTGCTGCCACACATGATGTCCAGGAACTGCAGCGTTTCGCACACCAGGTTATAGTTGGTCTTGTTGTTCTGACAGCGGAGGAAGTTCTGAAGGAGAGAAACCAGACATGCCATGCCCAGGGCACACAGATGTGTCCTGGAAGGGACCCAGATAGGGGAGAGGGAGGTGCCCCAGCACATAGAGACCTAGGGGAGATGCCCATGCATGGGCAGCAAGGAGCAGAGTCATGTACCAACAGAAGCCTTGTAAGAATGGTTTTTTTTGGCAATTGGGGTTAAGTGACTTGCCCAGGGTCACACAGCCAGTAAGTGTCAAGTGTTTGGTCTGAGGCCGGATTTGAACTCAGGTCCTCCTGACTTCAGGGCAGGTGCTCTATCCACTGCACCACCTAGCTGCCCCAAGAATACTGTTTTTAAGTGCATGAAATAAAATACAAAGGATTACAAAGGATACTGATTATATTGAAATACAATTATCAAAAAAAAAATTTTAATTCATGGACCACAGTTTACAAACCCCTGAATTAGATAATCTTCAAGGTCACATGACACGAATAGCACACACATATTTATACCAGAAAGGACTTAGCAATGAAGATAACAACTCTGTTTTGATTTTACATGTAGTATTTTACAACATACAACATGCTTTCTTCAGAGTAACACTAAGAGGGGCAAGTATTAGGATACCCATTTTAGAGATGGAGTAACTGAGGGGTACAGGCTCATAGACAGAGCTGGAAGAGAGGAGACCTCAAAGGTCATCTAGTTCTGGGGTCCATGAACTTTTTTTTAAAATATTTTGATAACTGCATGCCAATATAATCAGTCTCCTTTTTAATTTATGTATTTTATTTGATGTGCTTAAAAACATTAATCTTAAAAGGGTTCCATAGGTTTCACCAGACTGCCAATGGGATCCATGACACAAAAAAAGTTAAGGTGTCATCCACCCACCTCATTATTTAGATAAGCAAAGTGAGACTGATAAAGTTAAGTGACTTGCCCAGGGTCATACAGCTCATCAGTGTCAGAGCTGGCACTCAAACCCCCATCCTCTACTCCAAGTCCAGTGATTTTTCCAAGATAACACAAAGTTTCTCTGCCCCCAGGGGGAGCAAAAGTACAAGGAATAAGCATGTGTGTTCCTTCGATGCAGCTGGTGGCACAGTGGATAGAGCACTAGGCCTGGAGTCAGAAAGACCTAAGTTCAAATCTGGCCTCAGATACTTTACTAGCTGTGTGACCCTGGGTAAGTCGCTTAGCCTTGTTTGCCTCAGTTTTCTCAACTGTAAAATGGGGATAATGGTAGCACCTACCTACCTCACAGAGTTGGTACAGTGATCAAATGAGATAATTTTTTCAAAAAGTACTTACTAAGTAAGTGCTTAATAAATGCCTGTTTGCTTCCCTTCCATTGTGAACCAGCAGAGCATGAAGGCGTGCTGTACATCCATTTTTCTCAAATGCCAGTTTATGGGAATGGGAAGTGCGATTTCATTTTCCGCAGCAAACACCCAAGATTGCACAACCCCACGCTGCTGGCTCCTCCCCTGGCAGCCCCACAAGTTCCAGGCCAGGTAAGGGCAGGCGCTCACCTGAAGGTCCCGGTTGTGGTTCTCACACAGCAGCTGCAGGAAGCGAAGGATGGGCTGCATAATCAGCACTGAGGTTCCCATCTCATTGCTCTGCCCACGATCAACCACCTCATGCCCCCTGCGGAAGCTGGCACTCAGGGAGTACCGAGAGGTGGGGCTTGGGAGTGCAAAGGATGCCATGCGCCCTACGGTGGAAGGGAAGGATGAAAGTGAGGACACAGCAGCCCACCTGCGATGGAAACTTTTCTTCCATGCCCCCTACCACCACCCCTTCCTTGATCCCTGACTCTGCCCTGCCCTGAGCCCTCCCATGGTAGCCCCAAGCCCTAACCTTTGCCCTCTGACCTTTGCCTCCAGCATCCCCAGCCTCCCTGTCCTCCCTGGGCTGGCTGCCCAGGTCATTCATGTTCACGGTCACTGTGGACTTGGTCTCTTGCTGGGCCCTTTTCATTCGGTCATGAAGCACCTTAAAGAATTTCTCTGACTTCTTGTCACTCGTCATCAGATTGTAAAAGGATTTCTGCAGGGGCAGGAAAGGAAATTGAGGAAAGATTCAGCGCTGAAGTCTCTCTCCTCCACCCCACCCCCATCCCTTACCCTCCCACTCTCCAACACCCACCCTCGCCACCCCTGCCGAGGGAGCTCTATCCAGACTAAGTAAGTCACACATCTCAAATCACTTAGTTCCTACTGTGTGTTCTGCCCCGTGCAAATGAGACAATATTCATAAAGCACTTGGCATAGTGCCTAGCACATAGTAGGTACTTAATAAATGCTTCTTCCCTTCCCTCCTTACTGTGAACTTTATCAGAGAAAATCAAGACATGACTGTGGGGTCAGAGTTCAGAAGAGGCAAAGACCAACTAAAACCAACTGGTGTGGGGACACGTAAGGCTACCTGGAGAAGGCGGTGGGATTCAAGTGAGACCTTAAAGGATTATTGGCAGGGTTAGACAGGGAGGGAGGAGAGAAGGAGGAGGAGGAGAAGCAGCTAGCATTTTATAGCACCTACTAAGTGCCAGGCACTGTGCTAATAATAACAATAATAATAGTAATAGCAAACATTTATATAATACTTAATATGTACCAGGCACTGTCAAACATCATCTCATTGGGTCCTCACACAACAACCCTAGGAGGTAAGTGCTATTATTATCCCCATTTTACAGTTGAAGAAACTGAGGTAGCCAGAGGTTAAGTGACTTGCCCAGGGTCACTCAGTTACTAAGTATGTGAGGCCAGATTTAAACTCAGGCCTTTCTGAGTCCAGGCCCAGCTTTCTATCTATTGAATCACCTAGTTAACTTAAATGCTAGAACAGGAGTCTGGACTTGATGAGGTAGGAAAAGATAGCCATTGTGATTTCTTGAGCAACCAGGCTACCGCAGTGAATGTCACTGCATCTGAAGTGAATTCACGTGCCGTCCTCAGCTCAGACCTTTATGTGCCATTGCTCTGGTCTAACTCCAAGCCTCAGTCCTGATTTATAGACTGGGGTAGGGAAGGATGGCTTCTTGGATTCAGATAACGATAATACTAGATATGCCCTTGAGACTACTGTGGTTTCTCTAATCTTACTCTATCAACTATCCAAATTTCTCAATCTAGTCTTCAAGGCCTCTCCAAAGTGACCCCTCCTGCCAGACAACTGCATTACCTTAGTTTCATCAGGACAGTGTCATGTAGAAGAAAGAACACTGGCCTTAGAATCAAAATCTTTGGGGTCAAATCTCTGCACAGACACTTAATAGTTGTGTGACCCTGGGCAAGTTGCTTTACTTCTCTGGCCTGGGTCTGTAAAATGGGGGTACTAACACCTGCTAAGCCCCCATCAGCCCCCTTCAAATGGCATCAGGTGCTTGGGAAAAGTAAACATCCCACAAATCTAAGCATGAGGAGAGTACCTAACTTTTCTAATGCCAAGACCAGCTTGCTTTCCTCTATGCCATATAAGAATAAGAAAGTTAAGGGGCAGCTAGGTGGCGCAGTGGATAGAGCTCCGGCCTTGGAGTCAGGAGAACCTGAGTGAAAATCCAGCCCCAGACACCTGACACTTACTAGCTGTGTGACCCGGGGCAAGTCACTTAACCCCAATTGCCTAGCCCCGCCCTGCCCCAATAAGAAAGATAAAAGAGAGAGATGATGAGTTTAAATTAGAGTTAGTAAGAAAAGCCCAGCTTGGTTCCCTTTACCCTCAAGTGATCAATCAGTCAATCAACTAACACTGAATTAAGTGCCTACCACGTACCAGTTACTGGGTATACAAAGCCAAAAATGACTCAAATATGCCCTGAAGGAGCTTATACCCTTATCAGTGATGACTAGGTACTATGAGACCCTTTTTAGGAACAACTTAAAATGTTTACGCTCCTCTTATTTGCCACTTAGGAGGCTAGGGGAGAAACTCCATTCTACAACAAGGCAGGGAAGAAATAAACCCTGGATATAAGTAAGCTACGGTAGGTGAAGTGGAAAGGGAAACAGACCGGTCAGTCCCTGAAAGGATCAGAAGAAAAGACAGGAAGTGAACAGAAAGCCAGCCAGGACCAAAAAGCATCTCCAGGGTCCTACCTGAATGGAGGTCCCAAAGCCCTGCTCCCCTCACGCCTCCAGCCCCCTTCAACAACAGACCTGGATCTCGGTGTTGCCTCCATCCAGCAGGCGAATGGCCAGACCAATGCTCTCCTGGAAGATCTTCTCATTCTTTGTGCTCATGATCAGATCAGACACCAGCTTGGTGGCTCCTTCTTTGTCCAGCCGGCACTGGATGGCTGCGATGTGTGACCAGTCCTGGTCCTGGCCTGGGGGGGAGAGCCAGACCAGGGACAGAGCAAACGGCTCTCTCAAGAACTCAGCAAGTTGGAGAAGGTAGGGAGTAAAAAAAAAAGCAGTCCAGGGGGATCCAGCACCCCTTGATTAGAAGAACAGAGGATACTGGGGGGCCTTTGGGCCTGGGAGAGCAGGGAGGGTTGGGGAAGGGATGGAGCCGGAGTGGGGGGAGTAGGGGAGATTTGGGAAGGGATGGAGCCTGGGGGGGTAGGGGATATGAAAGGTGATCTCCAGGGGCAGGGATGGGGGGAGTCTCAGAACTGGGAGAGCACACCAAGTTGGAAAAGATTTCCAGACTGGGTAATAAGGGGATATTACAGGGGGAATCCCCAGGGCCGTCAAGGCAGGTAAGGATGGTAAAAGCAGGTGAAAGCCACCCTGGGGATGAGACTGAGGTCAGGATGTGAGAATCTGGGGAAGCTGAGTCCTCTCCCCAAACTGAGCCAGAGGCTGGTAGGAAGGATTCTGAGAGAGAGCAGGGGGATTCGGGGTGAAGATCATAGGACCCTATTTAGACCATCTAGTCTAATCCTCTACCCCTCATTTGAAAGTCGAGGATACCAAGGCCCAGAAAGGTTAACAGACTCAAATCCAGTCCTGTGACATCCAATCCAATTCTCTCTCTACTATACCCCACTGCCTCTGGATAGTGTGGTAGTGAGGCCCCACAGGGAGAAGGCAGGACCCCAAGCCATACCTGTGCCCATGGAATCCGGGATGTCCCCCTTGGAGTTCAATTTCCGATTCTGCAGATAATTGTGAAGCAGCATCTTCCGCAGGTTGTTACCCTGAAAGGCAGTGAGTGAGCCCCGACCCGTGCCCATACAGCACTCCCCACAGACCACAGGAGGCCCACACGCTCTCCACCAGCCCCAGTGGTTCCATTTCTCACCAACACCACCGCCCCTACAGGGCCAACCTCCGCCTCCTAACCCCAAGCCCAAAGCTACCTTTGGTGGCTCTGCAAGCCTGTGTGGCATAACGCTAAGACCAGAAAAGCCTTGGAACCAGGATACCCAGGCTTCACTCCCATCTATGCTACTGTGAGCTGTGAGCAAGACCATTTAACATCTCAGAGTGAGCAGAGCCTCAGTTTCCAGTCTCAAAGGCTGTTTGTAACTGCTCTCTACCTCTAGAGAAAGAATTGATGGAATCTGAAGGCAGATCAAAGCATACTATTTTTCACTTTTTTTGTGTGTCTTTTTTCTTTTTGGTCTGTTTTCTCTCACAACATGACTAAGATGGAAATATGTTTTGCATGATTACATATGTATAACCCATATCAAATTGTTTACTGTCTCAGGGAGAAGGTAGGGGAGTGTGGGGGAGAATTTATAACTCAAATTTTTTTTAAAAATGAATGTTAAAATTGTTTTTACAGGTAATTGAAAAAAATAAAATAGTTTAAAAATTTAAAAAAAAAAAGAAAGCAGTCTGTAAATCTCAAAGCTCTAGTCAATGTTTGGTTTTTCTGAGGATCACCCTATGCAGCCCTTCCTTTACCACTGTTAAGAATCACTATATATAATAACAGCAGCCTGTATTTCTGTAATGTTCTAAGATTTACAAATCTTTCCCCAAAACAGCCCGGTAAAAGTATTATTACACCCAATTTATGGGTGAGGAAACTGAGCCTCAGAAAACAGGGGTGTGCTGGAAAGATTTGTATGGTCAGATGCTGAGTAAAGTGAGCAGAACCAGGAGAACATTGTACACAATAACAGCCATGTTGTGCGATGACTAATATTGATAAACTTAACCTTTCTCAGCAATACAAGGATCTAAGACATCTCCAAAGGCCTTGTGATGGAAAATGCTATCCACAAAGAAGAAAGAACTATGGAGTTCGAATGCAGATCGAAGCATACTACTTGCTAATTTTTTTTCTTCTGTGGTGTTTTGTTTCCTCTTTCTGGTGGTTTCTCCTATTGGTTCTAATTCTTACTTATAACATCACTAATGTGAAAATATGTTTAATAGGAATGTATATGCATAGCCTATATCAGACTGTGCGCCGTCTTGGGGAGGGAGGTGAAGAGGGAGGGGGAGAAAAATTTAAAACTCAAAAGCTTATGGAAGTGATTGTTGATAGTTCAAAATAAATTAATTTTAAAAAAAAGAAAACAGAGGGGTGTGTGTGTGTGTGTGTGTGTGTGTGTGTGTGTGTGTGTGTGTGTCTAGGGGAGGGGGATTTGTGAGTTCCCTTTAGGGAACCTCCAGTGTGAAAACTCCTTCCACTAATATAAATAGTTAAATTTTCTCTGAGTTCTTCTCTTAGGGAATTGTTTGAGGCACTGGTAGGTTCAATGCCTGCCCCAGGGTCACACAAAATATATAGTGGTATAGTATCCACTATACCAGGCCATCTCCCTATGTGCACATTACACACGTAGGAAGATTTCCTGGTTGGGGAGAAGGGAGGCGTGTTCCATGTGAAGGAAGCCAGGCTAATGAAGTGCGATAATGAAAGCTAGAGGGAGGTGAAGAGGAGGGACCAGAGGGGTGAGGACCTAAGGAATGCTTTGGACAGGAAGAATAGGAAGTAGGGTTGCTGGCACTTGTAGGGGAAATCAGTTTTTGTTTTTTTTTCCCCTCAAACAGTGATAGCAAGGCCATATGGCAGCCAAATCATATGCTATTAAAAATGAAACAGAGAGATTTAGCCCAGAAATGTGTGCCAGCATACAAGCTAAATTTGAAATATCTGGATGAGTCCCAGCAGGATGGTTGAACAATCCTATACTCTATAAGCTTGCTCTAGCTGCCTTGGTGACACAGCGGATAGAGTGCCCGGCCTCAAGTCAGGAAGATTCATCTTCCTGAGTTCAAATCCAGCCTCAGACACTTACTGGCTGTGTGACCCTGGGCAAGTCACTTCACCCTGTTTGCCTCACTTTCTTCACCTATAAAATGAGCTGGAGAAGGAAATGGCAAACCACTTCAGTATCTTTGCCAAAAAAACCCTAAGTGGGGTCACGAAGAGTCAGACACAAGTGAACAACAATAAGGACCTAACCTCTGTCAAGTTATGTATCAAGGGAAAAGAAAGGGGTGCCCAGGCTAGGCATGGGCTAGTGGCCTGAGAGATACAGAAAGAACTAAATCCCAGCAGCTGAGGAGTACTGCTGAATATAGGGGAGAGGACAGAGCTGGGAGCCAAGAGACCTGGGTTCTGGTATCAGCTCCACCATAGCTCAGTCTGGTGACCTTGGAAAAGTCACTCCTCTACTCTGGGTCTCAGTTTGCCCATCTCTAAAAAGAGGGGCTAGATCAGAGATTTTTTACTTGGGAATTGTGAACTTGTTTCTTAATATTTCAATAACTGCATTTCAACATAACTGGGTTCCTTTATAATCCTATATATTTTATTTTATGCGTTTAAAAATAGCATTCTGTGTGGAAATATAATATGATAGCACACGTATAACCTATATCCGATTGCTTGCTGTCTTGGGGAGGAGATAGGGGAGGGAGAGAGGGAGAAAATTTGAAACTCAAAATCTTATAAAAAATGAATGTTGAAAACTATCTTTACATGTAACTTGGAAAAATAAAATATTATTTACATTAAAAAGGTACATGCATATCTTAAAAAATAATATTCTGAAAACGGGCCCATAGGCTTTCCCAGATTGAATAAAGGGGTCCATGATACCAAAAAAAAAAAAAAAAAAGGTTAAGAAGCATTGCGTTAGATGATCCCTTGCAGCTCTGATATCCTATGTTCCGTGGTGACTATAGGGTAAAAGTGGTAGAAAAAGCCCAAAGGGAGGGAGGGGAGAGGGGAGGGAGGGAGGGGAGAGGGGAGGGAGTACAGCCAGTCTTGGGTCGTTACTCATCAGGTCCCATACTCACCCGATCTCCATACTTCCTCTTCTTGAGCAGCATCTGCTGTAGGGTCCTTAGCACCTTAATACATAACTTTTCCTCGGACTCCATCAGGTCCTTTGTGTGCTGGATCAGCCTGGGCACCAGACCAGGGAAAGGGGGCTCAGACCCCATCCACTCCACCCCCAGAGCTTCCACATGCCTCCGAGCCATTGTCTTCTGGGTCCCTCAAAGTCCTCTCCCCATTCCTGGTAATCTAATCTCATCTGGATAGGAAAACCGTAGAGCTCCCCACACACCCCTAACCCTCTTCCTTCCTCACTCTCCAGAGGTATGGTTGCTCATGTGCTCTGAACACTAGGCCTAGAAGCCCAGTCCCTTCCCTGACCCCTAACACATAGCTCAGGTACCTTGGAGAAGACGCAGTATCCTCTGGGTTCCCTGACCCTTGGTAGAAATGCCCAGTGTCTCCTGACAACTGCCGCTGACTTTCACCTGGTCTGGAATACCTGGTTATTCTCCCCAGGTCTCTCCCTTCCCAATTTCCCTGCACTTTACCCACCCCTAACTGAGCTAAGATAGCTATCCCTATCCCCCAAATGCCTCCACGATGGCTCTCCCGCCCCCCATGTCTCTTCCCTCCGAGGGGTCTCCCATTGCCACAATGGGCCATGATGCTCTGCCCCCTCCCCCCACTGCTGGGTCTCCTCTCACTTGGACAGGAAGCCTCCACTCTCACAGCGCTGGTAGGCATCGCTCCCCTCTAGGAACAGTAACTCAGGCCAGTGTAGCACATCCACCAGCACGGACAACTCAGCCTCCACCAGTGGCTTCAGCCGCTCCTCAAGCGTGGTGATGATGTCCTGGGGAACCCCAGAATCAAGCCAATCAGTGAGGAGAAGGAGCCTGGGACCACAGCCTGAGCCAAGACTGGGGATAGGCAAGGTAGGCATCTCCCCAGAGTGCAGCACCCAGAAGGGGGCACAACAAGGAACACCTTTTCATATTCCTTCTTTTTTCTATCTTTTTTTTGTTTTTTGGTGAGGCAATCAGGGTTAAGTGACTTTCCCAGGGTCACACAGCTAGTAAGTGTCAAGTGTTTGAGGCCAGATTTGAACGCAGGTCCTCCTGACTCTTAAGGCTGGAGCTCTATCCACTGCACCACCTAGCTGCTCCTTCATATTCCTTCTCATAAAAGCCCCAAGTGTCTGCTCCCTGTGACCTGGAAGCACTGCTTCTGCTGTCAAGTTACATGCATTACAGCAGCGGTGCCAAGCTCACAGACCACACACAGGCCATATGTGGCCTGCAAAACTCCCAAAAGTGCAGACAGAACCGGATTAGAATGTAATTGGGAATTGTTTAACAAACTAAATAAAGTACCAATACAATATAGATAATGTTAATTTGTAATCTTCTAGGTCAATATGTGGTTCACTGGTATCAGTTTCTATTTGATTATTTGGGTTTTTTTGTTTGTTTGTTTTGTTTTGGCTAGGCAATGGGGTTAAGTGACTTGCCCAGGGTCACACAGCTAGTAAGTGTTATGTGTCTGAGGGCAGATTTGAACTCAGGTCCTTCTGAATCCAGGGCCAGTGCTCTATCCACTGCACCACCTAGCTGCCCCATCAGTTTCTATTTGAGTTGGACACCACTGCATTCCAGTGAAGGCTCAAGGCCTCCCATGGACAAAAAACATGGAGGGGACACCATTTTCAAACATTACCCAGGGTGTACAAATACCTTGTTCCAGCTGGCAAGACATGACTCCGAGCGTTGGGGAAGATAGACTATAAACTCCTTGAGGGCAGGGTGTTAGACTTTTGTCTTTGTATTCCCAGCCAGCCCCTAGTACCACAATGGGTGGTATACATTAAGAGTTTAATAAAGGTGCCTAATAAAAGCTTGTCGATTGATTGATTTAGGAAGAGAGGAGTACCCCAAAATGATCTTTTTCCCCCACCCCCATCAAAATCTCCATTCCTTCAGTGGCCCACTCTCTGCTACCAATAGAGTAAGGGATAATGAAATTTTCCACGATGTGCCAAGTAATCAGAAACCCATATGTGTGCAGGGGTCATGTGAATGTGTTTTACAACCACAATCATTGATACCATCAAGCCTGTTAGCATCAGAATACTAGTGCACAGGTGGTTAGGCCTACAAATCTGCCAACTCATGGATAATGGCCAATCAGGCAAAAAGTATTTTTGCTAAAAACAAAATAAGGCAGACTATATTTGGCCAACAGGCTACATATACTGGGAGCACGAGCTATAGAGGGAAGCAAGTTATTGGCATGAAAATATTAATGGTTTGATATATATTAACCCTTCCAGACATATCTACATTTTTAAAAAAAGATGCTTATAATTAGAGGCAGCTAGATGGCACAGTGGATACAGCCATCGCTCTGTGGCCTGGAGTCAAGAGGACCTGAGTTCAAATGTGACTTCAGACACTTACTAGGTGTGTGAACCTGGACAAGTCACTTAACCTCTGCCTTGAAGGCAGTTAGGTGGTTCAGCGGACAGAGCAGTGGGCCTAGAGTCTGAAGGACCTGAATTCAAATTCGGTTTCAAATGCTTAGTAGTCATGTGACCTTAAGCAAGTCACGTCACCCTGTTTGCCTCAGTTTCCTCATCTGTAAAATGAGCTGGAGAAGGAAATGGCAAACGACTCCAGTATCTTTGCCAAGAAAACCCCAAAATGGGGTCATGAAGAGTTGGGCACGAGTGAACTACAACAAAAGAAGGTATTGCTAACAGTGGAATTTTCAGCATATGACAGGGTCACAGATCTAGAGACGGAAAGAGCACTGACTTTGGAGAGAGGGGATTGGGTTCAAAACCCAGCTACCTGCAGCTTCTCAATGATGTTCTTGTAGTCCCACTGGTTGGCAGTGGTGGTAACACGAGGGAAGGCACGAGTGGCCGACTTGTAACTTGAAGCGTTACGTTGCATTGCGCAGCTGGCGCTGCTATTGAGGAGGGAGCTGATGTGGGAGTCTAGGTCCATGGGCAGGGAGATGGCTCTGCTCTTGGCTGTAAGACACGGAAGACACAAAGATGCTGCTGGTTGAAGAGCAGATGTAGCTGGTTAGACTTCTCGTGCCGCTGCCCTCTCTCCTGGATGTGGGAGAGTCAGGGCTGGACTCTGAGAAGACTGCCTTGACTTGGGATGGCCAAAGCGGGCTGGGGCAAAACAGGAGAATCCAAGCCAAGTGTTCCATCTGATATCCAAGATCCAAGTTTGCTTGGATCCAAGAAGGCATCGCCCCCCTCTCTCCTGTGTTATAGAGATGTCCCTTCCCTCCTCTCTCATTTCTGCTCTCTTTCTTATCTGTCTGGGACAGGGCATTGATTGAGATGACCTTACCAACCATGGCCAGGGTCCGGATGCAGGCTTCCACTGAGCCCTTGTGATGCTGTTGCAGCCAAGGACACTCCAGCAGCCGCATGCAGGACTGCAGAAGCTGCACTACGATCGTCTGGTGCGTCTGGAAAGGGGGAGGGAGTCATTGGAGGAGACGACAGGTCTCTGGCCACTGCCTCTGCCCAGTATTAGGTGCCCTCCCGGCTCCCAGCTTTGGGAAGTGCTGCACTCCATCACTGGGATACCACTGTCTCCCAACCTCAGCCCCAATCTCTTCCAGGCTAAAATTGCCAAATCCTCTAAAAGGACCACAGAGTTAGAGCTGGAAGGGATCTCAGATGGCATCAAGGACAATAAAGGCAACCCCCTTGTTTCATTCATTCATTCATTCATTCATTCATTCATTCATTCATTCATTGTGAATGAGGAATCAGAACCCAAAGACGTTAAGTGATTTGCCCAGGGTCATCCAGCTTGTAAGTTTCTGAGTCGAGATTCAAACCTAGGTCTTCCAGACGCTGATTCTAGTGCTCTATCCACCACACTATTCTTCCTCTCAACAAATTTATGTCCCTCTCATTCTTCAAATTTATTCTCAAAACTCCGGGAAGTCTTCCCTGATTGACCTCACTCACCCTGGATCATCTCCACTCAACCCCTAGCATTCAGTCTGTGCTTGTGTGCATTGTTGTATGTGGGAGTGTGCCCTGTCTCCCCATCGGACTAGAAGCTTCCTGAGGGCAGGGACTATATCTTGTCCATCAAGTTGGCTCCTTGAGAGTTTTCTCCACCAGGCTGAGGGAAAAGGGTGTGTCTCCTCCTCTCCTTGCACCTCTTCTAACTCACAGTCCAGGGCCCAGCCCAAAGCAGATAGGAATAGTAAGAGTAGGAGCTGACTAACTTCACAAAGTAATACTGTTGCTAAAGGCAACTAGGTGGTGCAGTGGATACAGTGCTGGGCCTGGAGTCAGGAAGACTCCTCCTTCCTGAGTTCAAATTCAGCCTGGGACATTTACTAGCTGTGTGACCCTGGGCAAGTCACTTCACCCTGTTTGCCTCAGTTTCTTCATCTGTAAAATGAGCTACAAACCACATTTTTGCCAAGAAAACCCCAAATAGAGTCACAAAGAGTCAGACACAACTGAAATAATTGAACAACAAACAACAAATGCTGTTGCTATTTCTAAATTCTCAATTCACTTGTCACCCTGCCCAACTTCCCTCTACTCTCCACCCCCCAGCCCCCACTCCCAGCTATGCAGAGATGAAAACTAAGGCTCAGGGGCAGCTAGGTGGTGCAGTGGATAGAGCACCAGCCCTGGAGTCAGGAGGACCTGAGTTCAAATCCAGTCTCAGATTAGACACTTGACACTTACTAGCTGTGTCACTTAACCCCAATTGCCTGGCCCAAAAAAAAAAAAAAGAAAAGAAAACTAAGGCTCAGAAGGATAGCAATGTGCCCAAGGTAACACAGCATCTCAAATCCAGTAGTTTGCTTCCAAGAGGGTAGAAAGAGATGGAGACAAAATAGCAGAGAAAGAGAGATGGAGAGAGGAGAGAGAGGAAGAAGAGAAGGCAGGAGAAAGGAGGAGTAAAAGGGTAGACCGTTCGATCCGTGAGGGCATCCTGTCCAAACCTTTATTTTACAAATGAAGAATCTGAGACTCCAAGAGAGAAGATAACTTTGCAAGGTCAGAGTAGACCACAGAAAGGTCAGGAAGGCTGCTTTCTAGGAATGACACTCACCTGGAGGGAGGTGCTGTTCTCAGAGAAGGGAGAGCTAAAGAAGGCATTGATGGTGTCTAGGACCACTGTCAGAACATACTTCTCCAAGGTCGGGTCAGACATGCGCTTCTCTCGTTTCTTACAGACCTGGGGGTTGGAAAGGAAGGTGAGTATGGATGCAAGAGGAGGACCCCTGCGTGCAGGGACACCAGAGGAAGTGGGCATGGAGTCCCAGAATCCATGTTGCCCCAGGATTAGCCCTCCTCATTTCCCAATGCTGCACTCCATCCCTTCTTGCTCCCCAAATCAAAGGGCTCCAAGATTCCCATGCCAACCTCCTTCCTCAGAGCCAACTTCCCCCAACTCAAGCCAGACACAGCCTCCTACTACAGAGGGAATAGAGAACAAAGAGAGAATCCATCCAAGCCTACTCGCCTCAAGGCCTGATTTCCTTGGTAAAATCCTCATCTATCACAGGCAAGTACAAGGGTGGGCCTCCTTAAGAAATGGAGCAGGGTGGTCTGCCCAGCTGAGGAATCTCCACAGGAACCCAGGAGCAGCTCGGGGGAGGCAGAAGCCTGGGATCGTGTGGGGGTGGGGGTGGGGGTGGGGTGGGTTATTTGGGAGGAAGGAAGGCTTCCCTGCCTATGCCCTGGCTTCTTCTTCCATTATACACTGACCCGAGCCATGTCCAGGGTGAAATTCTCAAAGAGAGTCCAAATATGATTACTGGTGTAAATCTCTTTCATCTCCACCTCGGTGTCCACATAGCAGTGGTTGACAAAGTTCACGTAGGCCATTTTCACCTGGGGAGTAGCAGGGAGGGGGATATGGAAGAAGGAACAGGGGAGGTTAGAAGATAGGGCAGGTGCAGCCAACAATTTCCTTTTTTCCGCTAAGCTTCTCCTCTTCTCCCTTATCCCCTTGCCTCCCTTTAAATGTCAGCCTCCCTCTCTCCTTTGCTTTGTGTCCCTTTTCTTCCTGTCTCCCTCTCCTTACAGCCTCACAGTCTCCCCTTTCTTCTGATTCATTCTCTTCCTTCCTACCTCCCTTTCCTAATAACCTGCTCTCTTCCTTCCCCTGCCTCTTTCTCTTTTCCCTTGACTCACTTTCTCCCTTCTATCTCACCTCCCTTATCCTTTCCTGCTCTTTTTCTCCCTTTTTCTCATTTCTCCTCTTCCTTCCCATCCCTCTTTCCTTCTATTCCTTTTTGTCTCAGTCTTTCTCTTTCTCTGTCCCTTCTCTCTGCCTTTCTTCCCTATCTTCATCTCTCTCCCAGTCTCCTATCTCTCCACTCTTCTGACTTCCCATTTCTGTCTCTCTGTCTCTCTGTCACTCTGTCTCTCTCTCTCTCTATCTTTCCTCTCCTCTCTTCCCTGGCTAGACTCCTCTCTACCCCTCCCTTGTCTCTATCTCTCTGCTCTATTTTCATCTCTCACTTCCTCCTCCATCTCCATCTTTCCTTTCTCTCCTTTTCCCTCTTTCTTGTTTCCCTTCTTTCTCTCTCTCTCCTCCCTTCCTTTCCCTCTCCTCTCTTCCCTGAATAGACTCCTCTCTACCCCTTCCTTGTCTCCATTTCTCTGCCCTATTTTCATCTCTCTCCCTCTCCTCCATCTTTCTGTCTCTCTAGTTTTCTCTCCTTTTCCCTTTCCTGCCTCCTTTCTCCCTTTTTCTTCCATCTCTCTCCCCCTCCCTCCTTCTCTACCTTTCCCCCTTTCCTGTCTCCATCCTCTTCCTGTACCTCCCTTTCTCCATCTTATTCTTTTCCCAGTTTCTACCTCTCTCCTGAATCCTCCCTTTCTCCTGCTTCCCCTCTCTCCATATTTTTCTCCCTTCCTCCTTCTCCCCTCTTCTCTCCAACTCTTTTCATTTTTTCATTTCTCCCTTGTCTCCATCACTCTCCTGTGTCCTCTGTATCTCTCCCCCTCTCCCTCTCTTTAGCCTCTCCCTCTTTCCCCCTTCCTCCCTCTCTTTAGCCTCCCTCAGGCAGAGAGAAGGGGTACCTCAGTGATACAGTCCTCATGAGTAACCACAGAGACCACATCCTCCAGGGGCAGCAGGGAGGTACACTTGATCTCAGTGTAGACATTCTTGCCCTCAGCACAGGCAGCCAGGAGATCCACCAGGGATATGTGGTACATGAGAGGGCTATTGTCCTCCACGCCATCCCTCGCTGCCTTCATCATGTCCAACATGTGGGCCATAGAGGCCTTGTCATTGTAAAACACCACCACATCATCCCCTGCGTTGGTCAGCTGTGGAGCAGAGGAAAGGATGAAGGGTTTGTTACCAGAGGTCCCTCAGACCCTGGTGCCTGAGATTGGACTCCTCTGCAAGAAGAGAGTCCAGGCTTACAGAATCACAGGGCTTGATCTAGAAGAGACCTCAGAGCCCATCGAGTCCAAACCTTCATTTTACAGATGATAAAACTGAGGCCACAGAGGTTGACTTACCCAAGATCATATAGGCAAGTAAGTGGAACAACTAGGATTTGAACCCAGAATCGCTGATTCCAAATACAGCATGACTGGAGCAAAGGGAGTGCAGGACCTTGACTTTCCTCAACCATAACAGTCCTGCTTCCCTGCCCTCCTGCAACTAACTTACTTGAGCATCAATCTCAGTCACATTCCTCCACCTCCATATCTGCCTCCTCTGGATCCTGAACTTTTCTCAAACAAAGAAACCCCATGAAACAAGCTTTAGCTCATTCCAAAGGAAAGGGAACAAGAATTGATAACATTTCTAAGGAAGTCCCTTCCCTGCCTGAGTTTTTGAGATCTACCCCCATCTTTGAGTTTTCCAACTGAGTTCTATTAGGCCTCCTGCCTGAGTCCTTTCAGGCCCCCAGAAAGGCTCACTGCCCACATTCTCCCTAGGCTCACAAGCTGAGTTCCTTCAGACTTCCCCTCTGAATTATAGTAATCTTTCTGCCTGAATCCTCCTAGTTTCACTGTATTTTAGATGCACTGTCTTAGTCCTTGCTGCCTGAGTTCCGTTAGGCTTGTTGCCAGAATTCTCCCACCCCTGCAGGTCATTACTTTTATTTGTTGTTTATTTTTTACTTTGACATGGTCTAGGCTTTATCAGAGGCTGGGAGACACTTGGTCTTTCTACCTTGGCTTGAAATCTAAGGTCAAACCACGATGTGGGGGGACCAATGATGAAGCATACTGCCCACCTCCTGACAGAGAGGAGAAAGGACTCAAGATGCAGAAGGAGACATTTTTAGACACAGCCAATGAAGGGAATTTGTTTTGCTTGACTATGCAGATTTGTTACAATGACTTTTTTCTTTTTTCTTTTTTTCCCCATTGGTGGGGAGAGAGGTGGGAGGGAAAGAAAACAAATGCTTGTTAAGTGAAAAAGTGAAAAATCAGATCCAGGTCTGTGAGTCAGTCTCTTTATTCCACAAGCACATTCCTTGGCTTTGCACAAAGAGAAATCTCTCTGCCTGAGGTCTTTTAGCTGCCTGAGTTCTCTAAGTCTCCCTGGCTGAGTTCTTTTCGATCCACTAGCTGAATCTTTTCAGGTTCCCGGTCTGAGTTCTTTCAGACCTTCCACCTGAGCTCTTCTAGGGTCCTTGCCTGAGTTCCCCCAGAGCATGAGTGAGCCATTGCCTATCCTTTGAGATGTTGGCTCCAGTCCAGGCTTGAGCCAGCTTTCTTCCCTCCCCCTCATCACCCTGCCACTTCCACTCACCTCGGTCATGATCATGTCCTGACACTTCTTGACGTACTTGCCCTCGGCCTTGATGACGGTGTGCAAAAAGTCCAGGTATTGCACGTGCCGCCCGTGGGTGGCCAGCAGGTGCACAAAGTGTTGCAAGACGGGCTCACTGATCTCCGAGCAGAGCTGATGGTTGTTCAGGAAGATGTGTTGCATAGTCTCAGCTTCAAGGAGCTATCCAGCGGAGGAGTAGTGGCTTCAGGAATGAGGAACCCCACCTCCTCCTGGCTCTCTAGCCATTCTCCCAGGGACATTAACAGGAGCCCAGCAATCACCATGAAATCCCCACTATTTCAACTGGGGCTTCCAAGACTGGGGACCCCCAAGTCATCCCACAGAGTCTGCATCAATTTGGAGACCTAGATTCATAATGTCAGAGCCATGGGGGACTAAGGGACCATATGGGTCAACTGACCCTCGTTTTGAATTGAGGGAAACTGAGGCCAAAGAGATGAGTGGAAAGAGGATTGAATTTGGAGTCACAGAAGACCTGGGTTTGAATTCTGACTGCCATTTACTAGCTACGTAGTCTTGGACAAGTCACTTAAGCACTTTTGTCATCTACAAAATAAAAGTGTTGGACTGAGTCCTTTCCAAGTTTCTATCTATGGTTTCATGAAATGATCTGCCCAAGTCACAACGGCCAAGCCAGGACAAGAAACCCAGGCACCTTCCCCTTCTCCCAGAGGTCTCTGTTCCACAAGTGTCCCCCACCCCAAAGTTAAAGGATCAAAGATCAAGAAATGCACAAGACCTAAGAGTTATCTAGTGCCTAACATATAGAATGAGACATGCATTTTTAGATTTGGACAATGTGGGAATTTGTTTTGGTTGAATATGCTTATTTATTTAAAGTGTTTCATCTTTCTTTTGTTGGGGAGAGATAAGGTAGGAGGGAGGAAAAAATATATGCTTAAAATTTAAAAAATATATGATTTTAAAAAAAGGTATATATTCCAACTTCTCCATTTTAAAGGTGAGGCAAATGAGACTCAATTTGATTAAGTGATTTGTCCAAGGTCACACAGGTGAATGGCAAGGGTGGAATTTGACTTCTGGTTCTCTTTTTCCCTTCTTTGTATCCCCAGAGCTTAGCATAGTTGGCACTTCAGAAATGCTTATCCTCTGCCTTCCTGCCTCTAGAGTCCCCAGTTTTCCACTGTGCCCCCTTGCCTCTCTCCTCTTTCTATCCCCTTGAGTCCTTAGGATCCCTCTGCCCTGAATAGCCTCAGGATCCCCTCCCCCCACCAAGACCCTCCACTTTCCCCCTCCAGGGCCCTTGTCCACCCCTTACCCCAGAGGTGAGGAAGAGATTGAGGTGTTTGTGGAGCAGGGCCTGGTTTCCAGGGTTTCCAGCACAGAACTTCTGCAGGAACTGGTGAGTATAGCGAAGGATTTCCATCATCTTTGCATCACCCTACAGGAGGGGGAAGAAGGAAAGGATACTGGGTCCCAGGGAAGGATCCCCACTGGTGGACAAGGATAAAGACTGGAGTTGGGATCTGGATCAGGAAAAGGGTCAAGAATGGGATTCAGGTCAGGCTCAGAGTTAAGGTCAAAGATCAGGGGTTGGGGCAAGGTCAGGGGTCAATGTGAGGAATCAGGTTGAGTGTTAAGATCAGAGTCAGGGTTGGGGTAAGACTAAAATCTAAGGAGTCAGACATGGAGAGAAGGTCAGAATCCAGGTAAAGAGTTGAGATGCATTTTCTGAGGGAAGATCACTCTGGTGCAATAGAAAAAAACACCGATTTGGTATTAGGAGACCCAGATTGGCTCTGCCACTTCTAAGCTGAGTGACCTTGGAAAAGGCATTTGATTTCTGAGCCTCAGTTTTCTCATCTGTAAAATTGGGATAATAATACTTGCACTACCCACCTCTCAAAGAGCTATTCTGAAGGCCAACCTTTATATTGTCATTCAGTTGCTTTTCAGTTGTTGTCTGATTCTTCGTGACCCCATTTGGGGTTTTCTTGGCAAAGGTACTGGAGTGGTTTGCCATTTCCTTTTCCAGTTCATTTTACAGATGAAGAAACTGATGCAAAAAGGGTTCAGTGACTTGCCCAAGGTCATATATCTAGAAAGTCTCTGAGGACAGATTTGAACTCAGGAAGAAGAGTCTTCCTGACTCTAGGTCTGGCACTCTATCCACTGTATCACCTAGCTGCCTATAAATGTGAGTAATTATTATTACAATTATCCCTTCCACATTGTGGGAGTTAGAGGCACAGTGCTCCCATGATCTGGAAAATCCAGGTAAAATTTTTTGCCCCTCCCTTTGTACCAGAGAAGAAGTCTGAATTATTACGGTATTAAAAGAAAAAATATTTTGATATGATATAATACTATACATTTATCCATTTCTGAGTTTCTAATCTTTTTCTGTGTTATCTGCAACTTCCACAAAACTCCCCCAAAATCCCCACTTTAATTTCTTTTGCTGACCTGCAATATATCAAAGCCACAATGGGGAAAGTTGAGATGCAGAAGGGATAAACGTATTATCATGTGAAGGTGAGAGAGAAGTCAGGAATCAGAGTCTAATCAAGCCTCAGAGCTGGAGTCATGGTGACCAAGGGTCATTATCAGGGTAAAGAGGGAGGGATTCCAGGTGAGGGTTAGGGTTTGGGGCTAGGGTGATGACTGGGTGAGAATTAGGATATAGGGGCAGAGTCAGAGGAAGAAGTGAGTGTTGAAGGCTGGGTCAGAGTCAGGGTGAGGAACTGGGTTTCGGGATCAATCCCCACTTTTTCATATGGGATCTGTAGCAGGTCCAGCATGACTTTATGGGCATCCATGTTCTTCAGCAACCTCTGCTGTTTCTTCCGCATCTGCTCTCCAACGCCACACATCTTGTTCAACCGTTCGAGGATCTGGGGAGAAGGTGGTGGAGGAATGGGTGGGGGAAGGAATAAGAGAAAAAAGCAACTCAGGGAACTCAGAGAACACATCACTATTATGTGTGTCTCACCCTTGCCCCTTAACCAAGCCTCTGGTCATGAGGCAGGAGCAGGAAACCCTAGGAAGGTTGAAACTGTGCCCTCCTGGGTGTGAAATGCTAGGCTCCAGAATGAAAAAAAAAAAAAGAATCTGAGAGTGAAAAAGAGTTTATAGGAAGACCAAATAAATCATTGAAAAAAACTAGCAACTGTCAAAATGTCTTCATTCTACTAATCAAATAAATTAACAGATAGAGAAATGAATAGACAGATTAATAAATGGGTAGATAGATAGATGAATGAATGAATAAAGGAATTATCTAATTGTGAAACTGAGTTCCACAAAATTTAAGAGAATTCAATCTGAAGTTTCAATGTAAAAAAAAATCCTAATAAAAAGCCAGACAATATCACCTATTATATTTTATTACATTTTCTCCCAGTACCACCATTTCAAAAGGAGCCCAGAACTACCATGCTCACTTCTCTCCCAGCTCCCCTCCTGATTGTCTGGTCTTTTCCTCCTCCTTACCATCCCTGCCCCTGGCAGAAACCCTCTCTTTGTCTCCCCTTCCAGTTAACTATAACGTGTTATCTTTTCCCACTAGAATGTAAGCTCTTTGAGGGTAGGAACTATCTTTTTTGTTCTATTTGTATTCCCAGGACTTAGCACAGTATCTGACATATAGTAAGCACTTAATAAACACTTTAGCTAGATAGATAGATAGGATGTCTGTCTATTAAAAAGTTGGTTGGCTAGAAGGTGAGAGGAATGAGAGGAACTAGTCACACACCATAATGTGCCCACTGGTGACCAAAGCTCATAGCTAATTCAGATGACCCTTGGAGGAGGTATGTGAATCTGAAGTGCAGCTCCCCTTTGGGGAATCCTTCCCTAGAACCAGGCCTCCTACTGCCCTGATCCTAGTCGCTCTACCTCCATCTGACCCTCTCCAGTCCCCACCACTCACCCCCTTGACGATCTGATAGTTTTCACTGCTTTTCTCTCCAGGAGGTTGAGTGAAGCCCTCCTCATCTGTGGGGTGCTGGGAGCATGGAAAGAGAGGGCCAAAGTTAAGGACCAGGGTCAAGTGATGGTCCAGACTCAAGCCCACACCTTCCTCCACCAAGGCCCTCATTGCTCTCTGCCCCTGCTCTTGACCCTGGCCCCTCCTTCACATCCTCCTCACCTCTTTCTTCTCCTTCTTCTCATCTACCACCTCCTCTCCTTTGTTGCTACCCTTCTTATCCACCCACAGTTCCGACTTCTCCACCATGGTCCGGAGCCGGTCCAGCTCAGACTTGATCACTTTGTAGTTTTCCACATCCTGGGCCGAGATCAATAGCTGCACCTACAAGAGAGAATGAGCAAGGACAGAGCTAGAAGAAATGTCTCGGATTCTCTACAATCTGGGTTCACCACTTTCCACTTCAACTTTGTCTTCCATTAGCTCAGTGATGCAGGCAACAGAAAGGGCACTGAATTTGGAGAGTTAAGCTTGAAGTTATGGAAGCAGAATTCAAATCCATGCTCTGTCTGTCACTTCTTGGAGGCAGCTCAGAAGTATGGTGGATGGAGCACTGGACTAGGAATCAAGAAGACCTGAGTTCAAATCTTGTCTCAGACGCATTTACTAACTGTGATTCTGAGTAAATACATCACTTAAGTTCATTCAACCTCTGTCCCTGCCTGTAAAATGGGGATAATAATACTACTTACCTCAAAAGGTGGTTGTGAGAATCAAATCAGAATATAATACGCAGTATTTGTGTGTTTATATATGTGCATGTATTATATATATATATGTATGAGTGTGTATGTATCTATATCTATGTCTATCTCTCTCTACATATATACATTTATGTAGGTATGTATATATGTGTGTGTATTTATACATACATACATACACGTATTATATGTAGTCCTTTACAAACCTTAAAAGCATTATATAAATTTTTGCTTTTATTATTACTACCTGTGTGATGACGTTGGGCAAGTTGATTAAACTCTTCAGGACTTCCTTCCTCACTCTCCAGGCTGCTGGAAAACCCATCACTACAGAAGCCCCCTTCCTCCTTTTGCCTTCCCCCCTCACCTCCTCCCTCAGTCCAGCTATGGGAAGACCTCTTGCCACTACTGGGGTCACTCTTCATCTCTGCCTTCCTCCTTCACTGAAGTTGCCTAAATGATTGTGAAGCTCTGATGGGAGCTTCAACAACTCCAACTTCTAGTCAGATAGAGGACCATATGACCTTATCATCTGCTCTGCTCCCCTGTCTCTCAGGACAGTCATCAGTAGGCTGGGTCCTGCCACCTGACCCACTGCTGAATCCTAGACTTCTAGGCCTTCCCATCTGCCCTGCAGCTAAACTTTCTTTTATGTTTCACTTCCTCTGATCAGAATGTGAGCTCTTTGAGAACAAAGACTATCTCAATTTTTCTAATTGCATACCCAGAACTTAGCACATAGTAGCCACTTAATCCCTGCCCTCCCTTCCCCCACATGGCTGTTGGGAAAAACCAGTGGGAAGAAGGGTGAGAGGCACTACCCCCCTGGCAGATATGATTTCAATTCTGGTGGAACTGGCCCTTGTGGTGTTGATGGCCTCTTCCAGGAGGATTTACAGGGGCCCAGGAATCGGGGCTATGAGAAGGGGGGAAGTGGGGAGGGGAGGCAGGCAGGACATGGAGGGGCCTCACCTGTTTGAAGGTATGGATGACCTCCTGGCGCTGGCTGAAGTGTTTGAAAAGCAGCTGCAAAGAGCCGGAGACCAGAGGGGCATAGTCGTGCATGGTGAGATGGATCAGCACTCGTAGGAACATGCGCCCGCCTTCATCATCTACTTCCAGCATGCTGCTAGTCTTCCTGCTCAGTCAGGGAAAGGAGGGAAAGAGAGAGAAAGAAAGGGAAGAGAGAAGGGAGAGGGGGAGGAAGGGAGAGAGGGGAGAAAAAGAGAGAAGAAGGGGGAGGAAAGGAAGAGGGGAGAAATGAAGGAAGGAAGGGAGGGAGGGAGCAAGGGAAGGAGGGAAGAAAGGAAGGAAGGAAGGAAATGAGGGAGAGAGAAAGGAAGGAAGGAAATGAGGGAAGAAGAAAGGAAGGAGGGAGGGAAGGAGAAAGGAAGGAAGGAAATGAGGGAGAGAGAAAAAGAAATACAGAAGAAAGGAAAAAAAAGGGATTGAGGAAGGGAAGAAAGGGAGGAGGAAGAGAGAGAGAATGACTATAAAGAGAAGGAATATCCTTGCTGCTTTCTAAGAAGATGTGGTTCACGGAGGAGGGTGAATGGCAAAATGCCTGCACCAGTGTAAACATACTTGAAGGAAACCTTAAAAGAGGAACTGGCCCTCATTTAACTCCAACCTGCGTCTGATGGGAAGTTAGCTCTGACTATTTAAACAAAGACCTTCTGCCATGGATGGATGGGGGGTGGATCCAGATGGACACTGGAACCAGCAAGGTGACCTCTGAGCACAGGTGCACCCAAGAAGTCCTTGCTGAGCTTGGTGGGGGAGGGGCAGCAGCCACTAGTGAGGGGAGGGGATGTCTCTGGGACTCTAGGGCAGGAAAGAGGGAAAGCAGCAGGAATGTGGATTTTTCTCCATATCCATTCTGAGAAACCTTCTGGCCAGGCCTTCTGGTCTGCCACCTGCCATGAGGGGGAGCTCCTCTTCCCCCACTATACAGGGCCTCCAGTGCAGGGACCTGGGCTTACTCACCCCATTCCAAACATAGCTTCCGCTTGCTCCCCAATCCGATCCAGGTTCATGTTAGCAGCTGTTAGGGATGAAACACAGGAGAGGGGGAGAAGGGGGATATTTTTTCAGATAATCAGAGATTGAGGGATCAAGCTAGCTGATCTCCTTTGCCTATCTGCAGACCTCTATCCGCCTATCTTTCTCTACCCCGACCAAAGCACATGGCCCATCAGGGGTATTCAGACTCAATCAGTCAACAAACATTCATTAAGAGCTTCCTATGTGCCAGGCACTGTGCTAATTGCTAGGGATACAAAAAGAGGCAAAAGATAGTCCTGCCCTCCAAGAGCTCTCAGTCTAATTAGGGAGACAATATCCAAACAAATATGTATAAACAAGTTACATATAGGATAAAAAGGAAATAACAGAGGGAAGGCAATAGAATTAAGAAGGTCTGAGAAAGGCTTCCAGTAAAAGATGGGATTTTAGTTGTGACTTCAAGGAAGCCTAGAAAGTAAGTGGGTAGAGATGATAAGGGACAGCATTCCAGGCATGGGGGGCAGCCAGAGAAAATGCCCAAAGCTGAGTGATGGAGTGCCTTGTTCATGAACAGCCAGGAGGCCAGTGTCCTTGGATCCAATAGTATGTGTTGGGGAGTAAGACTGGAAAGGTAGGAGGCTAGGTTACGAAGGGCTTTGGATGCCTGAGCATTTTGTATTTGATCTTGGAGCTGATGGGGTGTCACTAGAGTGGGTAGGGGAATAACACGGTCAGACCCACAGTTTAGGAAAATCATTTTGATGGCTGAATGGAGGATGATTACAGAAGGGAGAGGAATTGAGGCAAGCAGATCCACCAGCAGGCTCCCAATCTCCTTCAGGAGCCTCTGAATGCAGCAGCCAAAATGAATCCACTTTATATCACGGCAATGTGGTGTTGTGTAAAGAATGTTGGGAAGGCAGCCAAGAAACCTGAGGTCTAATCCTTGCTCTGCCAATGACTTCAAGCCCTCTGTATGCCTGTGTTTCCTTCTCTGTAATGAAGGACGGAAGGGGATTGAATAGATGGTCTCACTAAGGGTTTCCCTTCCAGTTACAACATTTTTGGGGGTTCTGTGACTTGATTAAACAAGTGACTTCACATCTTTGGGCCCCTGTTTTTCCCCCTATTGAATAGGTCTGTTAATATTAATATCTGACCTGCCTACCTCACAAGGCTAAAGTAAAGAGCACAGTAGATAGTGGAAGTGGGAGTACCCACCTCCTGACAAAAAGATGATGGAGGGGTCAGCTAGGTGGCGAAGTGGATAGAGCACCAGCCCTGGATTCAGGAGGACCTGAGTTCAAAACCGGCCTCAGACACATAACATTTACTAGCTGTGTGACCCTGGGCAAGTCACTTAACCCCAATTACCTCACTAAAAAAAAAAAAAAAAGATGATGGACCACATGTGCAGAATAAGATACGTTTTTAAAACATGTCCAATGTGGGAATTTATCTTGCTTGACTATGTATATCCATTACAAAGATTTTGCTTTCCCTTTTTGTTCCCCCAGTGGAGAAAGAAAAAATAAATTCTTATTAGGTGAGAAAAATTAAATTTAACAAAATAAAAAGATAGTAAAGAAAAGCTTATCGGGGCAGAGGGCAAGCAAGCCCTGTAAGGAGAAGCAAGAGTTGGCTGCCTCAAGGCAGGGGAGTAGGAGTGGAGACAGGCAGAGAAAAGACAAGGTAGAGATGAGGACCACTGGGAGCTTATCCGGGATCTACCATGATTTCATCATGTGACCTTGCATAAGCCACTCACTGCAATGAACCCATCTCCCATTCTAGGCAAGACAAGAAGACAGCCTTCCCCAGCCCGCCCTCCCCAGCAGAAAGGAAGGAAGACCCTGGACGCAGAAGAACCCAGGGACCCTTACTTGTGGAGTCAAAAGCTGGAGCTGTCCCATCAGCCCCACTGTCTTGCATGGGGAAAACTTCTACAAACTCCTTCTTGAAGACCGAGAGCAGGTAGGAGATGCGATAATCCAGCCGCACGTTGAGAATAAACTGTTGGGAAAAGGAAGAAGGTGAGCACTCCACTCTGACCCCACCTCCACCCCCCATCACGGAGGGGCAAATTCTTTTCAGTAACTGACAGTAGCAAAGAAGTGTGGATAGCCCCAAACTGACTTTTTTTTTCAATGAACTTCTATTTCTACCTTGGATGCATTTTGACTCTTTGCTAGAACTGTGAATTTGCCCGATATTCTGGAAATTCATAACATATCAAACCAAATGGAACCTTGCTCATTAGCTTCTGTTTCATTTCTTTCCGCCCCCATTATATGAATGGGTAGCAGATCACCCCTCAGATGGATACAAAGCATCACAGCCTGCCTCACTCTAAACTTTCAGTCTCACCTTTTCTTCCATCAGAATTCTGTCCTCCCAATACCCTTCTGGAGGCAGTGGGGAGGAAAGCGTTTTGAAAACCCTGAAATACAGGGCTATTATTATTACTTCCTACCCTAGTATTTTACCTGCCCGCTACCCAAACTACAGGGGTCAGTTGTTGGGCAGCTGCCAATCTAGTAGTGACACTTGACGGCCTGAAGCAAAGAGGATGGTAGCTATGTGGTCCAATGGATACAGCACGGGGTCTGGAGTCAAGAAGACCAGTTCAACTCCAGCCTTACTAGCTGTGTGACCTAAGTAAATCATTCAACCTGTTTGCCTCAGTTTCCTCATTTGCAAAATGGAGATAATAATAGCACCTATCTCATAGGGTTCTTGTGAGGATGAAATTATACATATACATATATATAAAATTGCTTAGCACAGTGCTTGGCATAGTAGATGCTATATATATAAATGCTTACTCCCTTTCTTTCCCTCTTCTGCCATTCCAACTACCTGCAGGATTTCTAGGATTTTGAGTTTGGTCTCCATCACCACAATGTCTTCATTCTCCACGAACTTTCCCCGGTCCATTGACTCCTGGGTCCCGGCAGTGGGGAGACTGGGAGCATTGAAGATGGACTGCTTACGGCTCAGCACCATGGTGGACATCATCTGTCCCACCCCCTGGATGGACCGACGAACATTTTTCCCTGAAGGAGATTGGGGTAAATGCCAGATATGTTCAGTGATACTGGAACTGGAGGGATAAGGTAAGCTAGCGAGAGGATGCTCTGTCACCACCCCCACAGGTGCCAGTCACCTCTTCCACACTTCGTAAGTATAGAAAAGCCTGAGTCCCTCCTGCCCTTGTATCCAAGCCCCATCCTATCCTAAGGGTCTTCTCTGTGCTGGAATCTGCACTAGGAGCTGGGAGGGAATATAAAGGAGTGAGGAGAAATAATCCCTGCCCTCAGAGAACTCTTAATCAGGTCTTATCCTCAGGAACTCCCAGCGTAACCAAGGAGACAGGCCATACTCTACACATACATAGCCACTCTCTGATGCAGGAATCAGACATAATTCAGCAGACACATGAAGGTACTAATTCCCCCAACTGCTACTACCCTTACTCCCAAACTAGCTTATATTTAGCAACTTTGTATATATTTCTATTTATTCACACCATGTTTATGTTGCAGATATTTATATATGTACCTATCTCCCTCATTAGAATATAACTCCTTGAAAGTAGGCATTGTTTCATTTTTTATACCTTGTTATCTCCTGGCATATAGTAGGCACTTAATAAATGATTGACTAAATGAATTGCATAATCTGGGTATACACATGAAGTAAGGAGATAGAACATAAAATGGAAGAAAGGGGCAGGATTAATCAGGGAAGGCTACCTACCCATTAATGAGTTCTAATTTAGGTTTGGGAGGGAAGATATATGAATAAATGACAAGATGAGTCAGGTGGGGGAGGAGAAAGACCTGGAGGAGTTATGTGGAGGTAGCTGGTAGACACAGCCCTGGGCCTAGAGTCAGGAAGGCCTGAGTTCAAATCCAGCTTCAGATATTTATGTCCTATGTGACCCTGGGTAAGGTCACTTAACCTCTCTTTGCCTCAGAATCTTGATCTGTAAAATGGGGGATAATAAGAGCACCTGGCTCCCAGGGTTGTTGTTAGGATCAAATGAGATAATATTTGTGAAGTGTTTAGCAAATTACCTGGCATGTAGTAGGCACTATATAAATGCTAGCTATGATGATAATGATAGTGTTGACAGGGTAGTAAACAGGTCAGCCTGAGGCTCAATGAGAAATGAGACTAGGAACAGAACTAATGTGGCCCTTGGCAGATGGCATCGTGAAGGCCAATCTGAGATTAGATTTGACATTAATATACATAAAGAGTCATTAGCTCTTTTTGTGGTGGCTAAGAATTGGGAATTAGGGGGATGCCCATCAGTTGGGAAATGGCTGAACAAGTTGAGGTATATGATTATGATGGAATACTATTGTACTATAAGAAATGATGAGCCTTCAGGCAGGCTTCAAAAAAACCTGGAAAGACTTACATGAACTGATGCAAAGTAAAGTGAGCAGAACCAGGACAACATTGTACATAATAACAGCAACACTGCACAATGAACAACTATGAATGACTCAGCTCTTCTCAGCAATACAATGATCCAAGACAATAACAAAGGACTCATGATGAAAAATGCTATCCGCCTCCAGAGAAAGAACTGATCAAGTATGAATACAGACTGAAGCACACTATTTTTAAGTTTTTTCTTTCTTTTTTTTTTGGTTCGAGTTTTCTTCTACAAAATGACTAATATGCAAATGTGTCTTACATGATTGCACATGTATAATCTATATCAAATTGCTTATCATCTTAGGGAGGGGGGAAGGAAGGGAGGGAGGGAGGGATAGAATTTGGAACTCAAAAATTTTTTAAAAAGAATGTTAAAATTGTTTTTATATGTAATTGGAAAAAATAAAGATATTATTTAAAAAAATACATACTATATACATACACACATACATACAAACACATATATATATATACTATACACACACACACCTTAGCTGGCTAGGCTCTGGGATTGTGTCTCTGCTGTCAGACTGGAAGATCTCTGAGGGCAGATTTGTGTCCCTCATACCAGCCTGGGAGCTCCCCAAGAGTAAGAATTATTTCCCTGGTCAGACTGAGAGTTTCCTAAGGAAAGAACCTAGTCTCCTTCCTTGGACTGAAAGCTCACCTCTGTGGGACTGAAAGCTCACCTCTGTGAGACTGAGTCAATCAGTTAACTAGCATTTATTAAGAGGCTACTATAGGTGGCTGACAATCAGTCAATAAATATTTATTAAGTGCTAGGCCCTGTGTTAAGTACTGACACAGACTCCTTGATCTCAAGGAGGCCTTGAGGGAGTACCCAGACTAGCCCAGTCAAGTAAGACGAAGGGGAGAGAGGTAAGCAAGGGCCAGAATGAGGGAAAATGGATTTATCTGGTGGCAGGATAGATTGTAATTTGGCACAGTATGAGTATGTCTGAACCTAAATCCTGGAATGCAGACCCCAGGGAGAGTCTGAGAGCCCTCAGCCAATTTGGAATGCATCATTACACATTAACAGAAGGAGTAAGGAAACCTGTATTCATAAAATCTTAAGATCTCAGAACTAGAAAAAATTCAGAGGCAAACAACAGAAATTCCCTCAATAATAGGGGTTCTTAAACTAGGGTCCACAAACTTGTGTTTTCAATAGTTTGATGACCATATTACTGATTTCCTTTCTAATCCCATGCCTTTTATTTTATGCCTTTAAAGATATCATTCTGAGATAAGGCCCAGAGACTTCACTAGACTGTCAAAGAGGTCCATGACACAAACAATGCTTAAGAATACCTGTTCTACTAATGCATTGTTGGTGGCACTGTGAACTGATCCAACCATTCTGGGGAGCAATTTGGAACTATGCCTAAAGGGCTATAAAACTGTGCATATCCTTTGACCCAGCAATACCACTCCTAGGTCTGTATCCTAAAAAGATCATACAAATGGGAAAAGGACCCACATGTACAAAAATATTTATAGCAGCTCTTTTTGTGGTGGCAAAGAATTGGAAATTGAGGGGATACCCATCAGTTGGGGAATGGCTGAACAAGTTGTGGCATATGAATGGAAAGGAATACTATTGTGCTATAAGGAATGATGAGCAGGCAGACTTCAGAAAAACCTGGAAAGACTTGTATGGTCTGATGCTGAGTGAAGTGAGTAGAACCAGGAGAACATTGTACACAGTAACAGCCACGTTGCGTGATGACTAACGCTGGTAGACTTAGCCCTTCTCAGCAATGCAAGGATCTAAGACAACTCCAAAGGACTCATGATGGAAAATGCTATCCACATCCAGAAAAAGAACTATGGAGTCTGAATGCAGATTGAAGCATATTATTTGTTCTCTTTTTTTTTCTTTTTTTATTTGTTTCTTCTTTCTTGTGGTTTTACCCATTGGTTCTAATTCTTCTTTACAACCTGACTAGTGTGACTATAGGTTCAGTATGAATGTATATGTAGAGCCTCTATCAAACTGCATGCTGTCTTGGGGTGGGGGGAGGTGAGAGATGGGGAGAAATGTTGGAACTCAAAATCTTATGGAAGTGAATGTTGAAAACTAAAAATAAATTAATTAATTAAAAAAAAAAAGGAACACCTATTCTATAATATCCTTGACAAGTGATCATCCGAGTCTTGGATGAAAGCCTTCTGGTGACATAGAACTCACTACATCCACAGAATAACTCTAGTAAGAAAGGTTTTGCTTACACAGATAAGAACCCAAATATGCCTCTTTAACTTCCCATCTATTACTCCTAGTTGGCCCTTTTGGGACCAGAGAGACCAAATTTAGTCCTTCTTCCAGGTGACAACCTTTCAAAGACCTGAAAGCAGTAATCATGGCCTCTGAACCCCCACCTCCAAGTCTTCTCTTAATTAGACTAAACAATCCAAGTTCCTTTACCTGAGTTTTGCCTGACAGGGTTTTGAGATACATCACCCCACCCCCACCATCCTGACTGCCTCTGAGTGTCTGGGCAGGAGGGTCCCACCCAGGGCCCCAGCCTCACCCCCAGGATCTTCATTGTAGGCCTGCAACAAGACTGGAGGACCCTGAACGCAGTCAATGATGCCCAGCAACGTCCGGGTGAGCCGCAGCAGCTCACTGAAGCTGTAGAAGCCAAAGTAGATGAGGTTGTGGGCCAAGCTGACGACCTGCAGCAAGTTGTTGAGGAGAAAGAAAAGAGGTGAGGGGAGAAGAAAGCTCCAGGTTGATGATGCACAGGCTAAGAGGGTACGGGATTGGAGATCATCACGGAAATAAAAATAACTCCACAGTTCCTTGGAGCTTTAAGGTTTTAAAAACATCTTCTTTATAATATAAGCCTATGAGGTAGGCAATGTATTATTAAACCTCCTTTTAGAAGAGGAAATTAACATTCAGAAAAGTTAAGTAACTTGCCCAAGGTCACCAAGCAAGCTAGAAGCCTAGCTAGGATTAAAAGCAGGGGTTTTGTTGTTGTTGTTTGATTTTTTTCCCCATTGCACCACTCATTACCCAAAGAGGCATGAAAGGTAAATAGCTTCAAGAGACAGCTAGGAGGAATAGGGCTAGACCACTGGACTTGGAGTCAGGAAGACCTGAGTTTGAAATCAGCCTCAGATGCAAATTTCCTGTGTAACACTACCCAAGTCATTTAATCTCTCTCAGCCTCAGTGTCCTCATCTGTAAAACAATAATAATAGTACTGATCTCAGGATTGCTGTAAGGTTCAAATCTGTAGCTTATATATCTGAGGTGCTTGTATAAATATTAGCTATTATTATTATATGAAAAGTTTAGGTAAATTCCTCAGTGTGAAATGCATGCTGAGTTACTATGAGAAAGTCGATCTTTGAGGTAGCACAGTGGATAGAGCACCAGA